TTTTTTGCATTTTCCGTGTTTCGGTCACATGATGATTTGCTAAAAGAAATGAAAAATAGGCTACGTGGAAATTGTGGCCGGTGGAAATAACAGAGCGGGAAGCCCGAGGCGTTTGCCTGGAAGAAATGGTGTTCTGGCAGGAGGAAAGCCTTTTAACTAGTTTTACTGGGAAATATCGAACAGTATAATATATCCCCCACACCCACCCCCAAAAAAGAAAAAGAAAAAAGTACGTCTTCACCGAGAGAATTATATAAAGACACTGGCTACTTGTAGGTTACTGACAAGTGGGTCACTTCATTCTAACTTTTTTTTGTGGTGTAAAAAAAAATCTCTCATCTTTCTTTTCTTTTCACTCTCTCTCCAAGCTGTGTATACGTGCGGACGTGTGTGTGTGTGTGTGTGTCCAATTTGGGAGGGGCGGTGTGTGTGTTATGAGATTAGCCTACCTCTTATTAGGCAACTGGGACCAAGGTGGATTTATAAGTCTTAGTATGGGCCTGTGCTGTACACCGAGATTGAATCAAAAGATTCTGAGTGAAGTTTAAAAGTGTGTTTCTCCCCTTTCTTTTCATTATTGACCCCATTCTAGACTTAGTTTGGGAATTGCATGTAGCAAATCATTTCCCCTCTGTCTGGAAACCGGTAAATGCGTTCCGTTTGTCAAAGCGTGTTAGCGAAGCGCCTGCAGCAAATTCATTACCACCCAACTGCGAGGCTCACTTCGCAACCTGGTCAGGCAAGAGGAGGGAGTTGTCCACGCCAAACCGCGAACAATGCTGCCTTAGTTCGTGCGTGCAACAAAAGAACCGAGGGAACTTGTTTGAATTTCAGAGCACGTCCTCTGCTCACACAGAAGGATGGACTTTACACCCCCCACCCCCACCAAACACAAACAACACACACACACACCCCCCCCAAAAAACCCACAACCCCTCCTCATCATCATCATCATCACCCCCTCCCTCCTCATCCGAACCCACCATCAACAGGGGGAGAAAAAAACTTGCACACTCTGAGAAGCTCAACTGTGCATGCACTTTTTTTTATTTGGTGCTTGTAGACGTTATGGGAAAGTTGTGTCTCTCCCTCTCCCCATCCCTCCCTCTTTCTCCTTCTCTTCGTCTGTCATGTGCGTGGGATGCTCATGCTTTGCACAGAGCAGCTGTAGCACGCCGAATACAGGCTAGAGTGTTAGCGGCAATTTTAAAGTCCCCCCTCCCCTCCCTTCCGCCCCCCCACCCACCAAATAATACGGCTGGGATATTTGAAGGGAACATACACCATATCACGGTACACTCGGACCCCGTTGTTCTTCACCGGGTTGGGACGGCTTCTGGTCTGATTGTGACTCGCCATTAGGAAGTAAGTGCAACTTGTGTGTCTGATTTAAAGATTTCCTTGTGCGCAAAAGTTGAATCTAGACTATCGTTTAAAAACATGCGCTGCTGTTTTCTTAAAATACGTCGCTGAATGATGTCTCGCAATTGCGTTACACTTTCAGGAAAGAAATGTGAAGTTTGTGGCTTTTAACCTTTTTTGCACAGTTTGGAAATAAGACACTGATTGGCAGCCTTTAGATGCATTCAGATCCTAAGTTAGGCTTTATTCTCACAAAGAATAGTTTAATGCTATTAACTTTAAGAGCGTCTTCACTCTTTCATTTCAGCCTTCTGCAATTAAGTCATCTTTAAAGATTGTCAGCAGTGTTACTAGAGTAAAAGGTGCGTCAGAGATAATCTTCTTTCGTCCTCTTTGGTTATGAAAAACAGCCGAGCATAAAAAGAAGTGCTGTCCAAAATTTGACATTATTATTACACCTACATAAGGCATACTTCAGCGTCAATGAATCCACCGTGTTTGGGTTTTGTTTGTGTGGACTGGATGCAGTGAGAGAAGTGTGATTTCGAGAGCGATGTGTTTGAAAAAAGAAAGGAGAACAAGGACGGACTCATTTAGGAACAGAAACAGATCCAATCGCATATTTTTTCATGTTTGTTGAAGGACCTGAAATGTCTTGGTACAAAAGACACAAAAAACACAAAAAAGTTTGACTTTACTCTGAATGAATAACGTCACCAAAATCGTCACACACCGTCTTAAAAACAAAGCGTTCGTTGTACAGTTTTACTTATGTAGGTGTTATTACGCATGAATGCGTCGTATGTTCGAATAAAGCT